CCCCCCCCCCCCCCCCCCCCCCCCCCCCCCCCCCCCCCCGGACAGCCAGCCTCATGGCACTTCTGCTCGCAGGACTCTGCCTAACCTGAGGGCCTGTCCAGGCTTACTGTGTTGGTGGGTGAGTGGTGGGAAGGATTGCTTTGCACTCAGGCCTGCCATCGCTGTCCGGGAAATGAAGGTCTTGCTCACAGCGGCAGGCCTCTAGGGAAGGTATAGCAAGCCTGCGGGAGGCCGCCTGCTGGGCCAGAGAGTTGGTACCAACAGCCCGAGCTGGGTTTGCCTTTACAAACTATTGTCCTCTCGGCCATCGTGGACTCTCCGAGGGGGCCGACGAAACTGTCAGGTTAGGTAGAAGGCAATGAAACAGGTCATAAAACTGCAAATCCACATGGGCAAGCAGAAGACCCAGATTTCCCTACTCTTACCAGCTTGCTGCCCTGTAGAATGGCTCGGTTTGGGCTCAGGGCACTTTTCAGCATTCAGATATTTCTGGGCTGCACAAAGACTATGTAGTATGTGTTCCACAGAAGACAGAGAATATTGTTTTCAAGCAGACTGCAGGGCCATTTGCATGGTTGTATCATTTTGGGTATAATAGAAGAAAATGCTAGAGTGGAATTTGGAAATCCAGGCTATTATTCTAGCTCTGGTACCTGTTAACTTATTTTATAAGTCATTTGAATTCATAGAACCTTAGTTGACTCGTGTAAGATGGGACTAAACCCAGCTAACCCCAAACGTCTTATTATTGAAGATTAAATGAGATCCCAAATGATGAATGAGATACACTTTGTAAACTGTTAATTACTATACAATATAAGGGTTTCCTTTTTATTTTTTGGCAGAGGCCGGAGGCAGGCTGCCTGTTTGCAGCCAGGAATCTCCGAGGATTTGCAAAAGGTGAAGGAAGGGATGGGCATTGCCAGTAATGACGGAGTAGACTTCCTCAGCCTCCTTGACAATGTGGCTGCTGAGCAGGTTGGGTGACTGTCCTTCTCTGGCCCTGGGGGTTGGGGGGCTGGGGATAGGCAGCTGGACCTACTGGCTCCTGAGTTAGACTTGGGCGGAGGGGTGTGGCCTAGAGGTGTGGGTGGAGGGGAGGGGTGTGGGCGGAGGGGTGTGGGGTGGAGGTGAAGGTGGAGGCAGAGGTCTCCCTTTATGGAGGCAGCTGTGGGAGGACGTGCAGGTGGGGTGGATGTGGGAGCGGAGGGATAGGGCCCACGTAGGGAGGACTCCTCACTTGGTTAGGCACATGGTCATTTAATTCTAGATCAGAGTTTCTCGAGGCACATTCCCCAGAATACCTATGATGTGAATGTGTACATCCCGGGCCAGCAGGGGCAGGGTGGGTGATGGGTAGGGGGTAGGGAAGGATTGCTGTCTGACTGTTTTGGAATCTCCGTTATATCACCTTGTGGAGAGTCTCTACACACAGCAGCATATTAAAGAATCTGAGAAGTAAAGAAAGCTGGTCAATCTTTAAATCTATTTTTCCCAAATGTATCGAGCCATAGATTCTTTCTTTATCTAATGGATACTGAAGACCACCCAATGGGAAAGCCTTCTCTAGATTCAAAAGGCAGACACCCAACGGTGCAGTGTAGCCTGGGTCCCCCTTCCTTCTCTTGTCCGGACGACAGTGTGCCCTGAAGGCAGAAATGCCCTGTGCTTATGGGTAATATAGATGTCAGGTTATAAGGTGAGAGTTTATATAAAAGTGTTTACATGGCATACTTTTTAGACATCCATTTTGGGAAAATAAAAGCCATGTGGAAATTTACGAATTCCTTGCTCTGTGTTTTATTTATGTATTTTTATAGTTAAAAAAAAATACAAATGCTTTTCATTTTGGAGTAGATGGGAAACCATCAGAAAGGGAGGAAAAACAGCTTCCTCCCCCCCCCCCCCCACCCCCACCCCGGGCCTCCAGATCTCTAGGAATTGCTTTAGAAGGGCCTTGGGGGTGTAGCTTTGGGGGCTGCTGAGGCCCTCCCGGGTAGAAGACAGGCCCCTGAAGGCTTTGTGGAAGCTGGTCAGTTGCCGAGCTCAGCGAACGAGAAGCATTTCTTTGTGAAACTGTCCCTGTGGCTCTTCCAGGTGCACAGCCTCCCGAGCTGCCCCACACTGAGGAGATTTGCACAGATGATTGAGCAGAGAGCTGTGGACACGGCCTTGTACGTTATGCAGAGGGAAGACAGGTGAGAAGCCTTCAGCCACCGTCACTAAGTCACGCTCGGTCAGGCCTCCCTGTATGTGGGGAAAAGGGTTCACCAGGCCCTGTTCACACCTGCCAGCGCATGTCTCTACATGTGCTGAGGTGGGAATCACCCTGTTCTGCTGGCCTGTTGAGTGGGTTCGGCCCTGCGTCCTTATACTTCTGGAGCTGGGACTGGTGAGCTGGTGCTTCTGTTCACTGTTAGGCAGAACCAGGAGTCACCTCTCGACTGAGTTTCTCTTAATCACTGACTTTTTCCCCATTTACTTTAAGTTTCAAAGGGTTTGGGTGGGGAGAGCTGACGGAAGAATAATGATTGCTGACTTTGTTCATCAGTTTACAACTTACAAGCCATTTTCCTGTTCTCGCTATGAGGTAGGTGTCATTTCCCTGTCAGGGTCCAAGTCCTGGCTTAATAGATGAAGTAGGTGTGAGCCTCACCTAGGCTCGGCTAGCTGCCAGGACTTAGGCCGGCTCTTCTGATTATCAGTCCTGTGTTTTCTGTGTTGCTTATACTTAGGGCTCTGTTTTTAGAAGGCCTGTTTCTTGCCTACCAGAATGGAGAGTTTCTCTCTTAACCAAATTAGAAAATAAAACAAAACAAAACAAAACACCTTTTTCTGGTTGGTTAAGAATACCCAGCTTGCACTCAGAATAGGTAACTTGGTAGAGAAGGAGATGGGAAAGAGAGGATCAGTCCTGGGGAAGATAAGTGTGAGCAAAATCCAGCTAACGTTTCAGGAATTTGCAGGGTCTGTTGCATAAGGGTAAGGACCCCTGGCTGCTTTTGTCCCGCTCAGATTCAGTGTGTCCGCTTGTGTACTTGCTCGGGGCCTCCAGAAGACTCCGGCTGTGCCAGCCAGCTTGCCTCCACTCACTGTGACTTGCCGCCTTCCCTCATCTGTTCCTGAAGTGGCCCCACCAGACCTAACTTATCACTCACTGTCCCCCCGTGCTTCCCCCCCACACACACTTAGTAAATATTTTAGACTTTATGGCCCATGCATTATCTGTTGCAGCCACTCATTTCTGCCCATGTAGCATGAACACAGCCATAGATGATACGCAAACAAGTGGGTATGGCTATATTCCAAGTTAAACTTTATTTATAGAACAGGCAGGTGGAGCGGATTAGGCCAATGGCCGTAGTTTGTTTTCTCCCAGTGTAAAGCATTTTAAATAAGGCTTGACTCTTTGCATTTCGGTTAGCCCTGGTTTCATAAAACTGATGTTTCCTCAAGGACAAATTGGATGGCCTCACAGTGCCAGCCAACTTGGCTTGGCCTGTGTACCTTCTTCTGGAAAGTAGATTGCATATGGTATTGGTTGCCTACTCCCCATCCATTACTTCAACATTCCCGTTTATTTACACATTATACACATTGTAAGGGTGGTCATGTATTTACCCAGTCACCATGAAAGGATTGCTCCAAGCCAGTCATGATGACCTTGTTCCCTTTTGTCCAGATTGGGCTCTGGGAATTTCTGGAAGAGGTTTTGTCCTCTTCGATAAAAAGTGAGAGGCACCACGACCAAGCCTTTGTGCTGCTTCCTGCTTCGTTTACCACTGGGAGACAGGCTTTGAGCCGCAGCAGCCACCCTGTGATCATAAGGCACAAGCCCGAGGGGGAAAGTGGCGTGGCCACCGTGCCAACCCTGCGGGCACCACCGCTGAACTTTGTGTTGTATCAGATACATCTGACACGTCCTTGTGGTCTACACTCCAAAGGAGGAGGACTGGCATCTGGGAAGCCTAGATTGGGATGCTGTTCCTTCCTATCCCTTTTCTAAGGGCCTCCTGGAATTCCTGGAAATCACTATGCCCTGCCCTTCCCAGCTTGTTCTTTTCTCCCTGAGGGCCTGGTTCTTCCTGACTTACCCTGGTTACCACTCCCGTTCCAGTTGTGTTCTTACCAGATCCACATTCTGGCGCTTTTGTTGTTGGAAGTCTCTGTGCACAGAGAACCCTCACGCCAGAGGTGGCTCCACGCGCCCCCCCTCCCACCCCCACCATCCCGCAGGTTACTCTCTCCTCCGCCGTCTTATTGGGCTCATGAGGTCCTGGTGGCAGACCCGCCCGCAGCCCCGTGTGCCGGCTGCTTCAGTGTTGTTTACTTGCCGCAGGGAGAGCCTTCAGATGGCAGTTGGCCCATTCCTCCACATCCTGGAGAGCAACCTGCGGAAAGTCATGGACCCTGCCACCGCACCAGGCAAGACCAGGTACCTGCCACAGCAACTGGCTTTTGTGCGGCCGAGGGCAGGAGAGGCCTCTGGCTGCAAGGGCTGGGGGGCTGGGGGGCTGGGGGGCAGGTTCTAGGGGGGCAAGAACCAGGCTGTCAGTGACAGTAGGCAGTTGTGTAAGAGGCCAGGAGTCCCAAAGACGTTCACAACATTGTTACCATTCTTCCTGCTGCAGCAGTCCTGCCATGGTTTAAAAATTTTATGTTAGTGATTAAGAACCCTAAATTTATTTTTCCTTTTTTTTTTTTTACTACTGGAACATGTGTGAAAGAGTAGCTAATTATGATATGCTGATACAATTGCTGAATAGACTGTTTAGTTCGAACACCTTCACCGAGTGTATAGAAGGGTATGATATCCGCGAGGCATTTTTAAATGTCGGAAGTAGCGCCTAAACCTCTGTCCCCACTTTGTAGTGCCTGGAACCTGGCTGGGGGCACAGATTGGGAATTTGCTGAGCAGAGTGTGATCTACAGGTGAACAGCTTCACCGCTACTGGGGGAGCTTCTAGATTTGGACTGACCTATTGAATCAGGATCTGCATTTTAACAAGATCCCCAGGGGTTTATGCACACACTGCTGTTGAAGCGCTGTTGTAGGCGGCCTTCTTTAGAGAGATTGTACATAGCTAGAAACTCACGAACGTGGGAACAGTAGGGGACAGTGAGGTGACCTAGGAACATTCAGGAACTTTGGGCCAGATTTATAATAGCAGATCATACCAGTGCCCTTCCCTGTCCTTCACAGCACCTGCAGTGACAGTACATTTCTCACTGGCCCTGGCCACCTTGCCCCCCTTGACTTTGTATCTGTAGAATACTACAGGGTCCAGTGTTAGTCTTCTAGTTTAAGAGTCAACACATAGGGGCGCCTGGGTGGCTCAGTCTGTTGAGCATCTGACTCTTGGTTTTGGCTGAGGTAATGATCTCACAGTTCCTGAGTTTGAGCCCCATGACGGGCTCCATGCTGACAGAGCAGAGCCTGTCTAGGATTCTCTCTCCTTCTCTGCCCCTCCCCTGCTCACACACGTGTGCGCGCTCTCTCTCGAAATAAACTAAAAAAAAAAAAAAAAAGTCAACACATGAAATCCTTGATCTTTTTAAAGAGATAGATACAGGGGATGGGCAGATAAAGATAAAAATGGCACCTTTCTTACTGATTAAAGCCCTTTGGAGAATATATTGAAGGCCAAACAGGCTTATTAATATTCCTTTGAAATGAACTTAATGCCCCCGAACTGCAAGCCTCCCCAACAAGGAGGAGCATGCTGTACTACACTCATCACACAGCTGAGAGCAGGAGGGACATTTGCCACAGGCAGGCAGGTCCCAAGGGGAGAAGAGAGGTAGGACCAAGCGACCCATGCTCGGTTTCTACTTCAAAACTCACCAGGGGAGGAGTGAGTGGGTGGGTGGGCAAGCAGGTGGGCAGGAAGGGAAAGGCCAGCTATCCCAGTGGGGATCCCTCCTCATGAAAATATGAGAGTGGCATCAGGGTTCCCCCAGCTTCTACTTCAAAGCAGTTTTCCATCAGGCTCGCTGATAAGTGTCAAAGGAGGCAGACATCATCCTGGTCTTCTGAGTCCTGAGGGAAAGGCCTATAGAGAACTGTTTCCTCCTTGCAGAAAGCTGTACCTCTATGCGGCTCACGATGTGACCCTCATGCCTCTCTTAATCATCCTGGGGATTTTTGACCACAAATGGCCCCCGTTTGCTGTTGATCTAACCATGGAACTCTACCAGCACCAGGAATCTAAGGAGTGGTTTGTGCAGCTCTATTACCGTGGGGAGGTAAGGTGGCGAGGCACCCTTCCTCCAACCCTGCTCACCTGGTTTACCGCCAAGGCTCCCTCCTTGGGCCCAGTGGAGTCTCCTTGGTACAATCAGCTCTCTGGACCCAATAGAGTGACTCACAGCCATGGCCCAGAGACAGGGCAGAACTGGAAATATGGTGGCAGGCTGGGATTTGGGCCTTATCATGAGCCTGCTACAGACTCCTTCTAGGAACAGGACCCCCTCCTCCTGAGTGTCTCTGCCAGGATGTGGCATCCTGACTGGGAGTCTGTGTTGAAAATTAATGCTGGTGTCCTTGGGAGGCAGTGTGCTGTCTGCACTGCGGTGCCTCAGCTGCTGTCCGGGTCAGGCGCTGGAGCACCCCACCCCCGCCCAGGGCAGACTTTCGCCTCCCAGCTCAGGGGTATGATGTGACCGTGTCTCCTCGGTCAATTCAAGAAGCAGTTCTTGAGTGACCATCTCAAGTAGGGCATGGTGCGCCTATTCCGGAAGCTGACCAGCCGGGCCTTCCTGGCTGTTACGTGTGTGCATGCACACACCATTGGGTCAAGTTCCTCGGACCTCTGGGCACAGCTGAAAACAGCAGGCCAGTGTCCTCAGTGGCCCCGCTGAGTTTTGTCTCTTCCCCAGGAGCAGGTGCCAAAAGGATGCCCTGACCAGCTCTGTCCACTGGACAAGTTCTTAAACACCCTGTCAGCTTACACCTTGAGCCCAGAAAAATACCACACACTCTGCTCTCAAGCACATGTGATTGAACTTGGAGATGGAGAGTGACCGATGTATACAAACAGGATGCGTTGGTTTTTCAATAAAATGCCTTAACACACTGCCTCTGGTTGTCGTGCTTGGGGAAGGCAGGAAACAAGGGTTAATGTATTTTAACCTAAGGGTATTTCCTTCCTGCAGATATGATACACTGAGGTCACTTCTTGAAAGGAAGAGAGGTGTAATGTTGAGACCAAAGAGGTATTTCCTATTTTGTGGCTTGATTTCCATGGCCAGAAGCATCTGCCATGACACAGGCTAGGGTCATCGTGACCCTGCAGAATTGTGTTGGTTTGGGACTCGAGTTCTTTTTACCTGTCTTCATTTCACAAACATACATTGTGCCACCTACTAAGTAGTGGGCAATTATAAAGGTGGAAAGGTTCTGCCCTCACGTTTTTTTCGCCCATGGGAGAGGCAGTAAGTCAGTGATGATAATGCAGTGTGTTACGTTCTGTGATGAGGTGTATCGACCTCTTTGGGTACAGAGAAGAAATCCCTAGCCCCAGCTGGCAGGGGCCCGAGGAGCAGTTAAGAAAGGCTTCTAGGGAGGTTCTGGTGCTGATCTGAGTAGGAAAGGTGAGTAGGAGTTAACCAGGTAAAGCGAGGAGGGAAGGGTGTTGTGTGTAGGTAAAAGGTAAGCTTGGAGGTCAGGGGACGTTGCTGGTCAGTGAGATGAGCCCTGCTGTGGAGACCCGGCTGGAAGGCGCGGGATGGACACTCGGCTTCTGGTGGCCGTAGCCCCAGCAGCGAGGATGCAGGCTCCACAGTGGCAGGCTGGAACCACTCTAAGAACTCTACCTCTAACTGGGCCCCCCGAGGTACCTGATGGTCCCCCTATTTCCTTATCAATTTTCTCATTCTTCCCCAGAATCTCTTTCAAACTTGCTCTCATCTCAAACCAATCGATCTCTTTACCTCTTAGGGAAAACAGCAATCACGAAACCCTCTCCACTTCCAACCATCTTTGTGTTGACAGCTTCCAGACCTACTTCTGTAGCTGAGGTTTTTCATCTGGCCTGCAGACACTCATGACCACTAGGACGTCCCATAGGCCCCGAACTTTCAATGTCAGAATCAGCCCCCCCTCTCTCAGACTTACTCCTCCCTCAGCCTTCTGTATCTGAATGAAAGACCCCTCCACCGTCCACTCAGTTGCTAAAGCAGAAATCCATTCTTGTCTTTTTCCTCTCCCATTTTCCGGTGTCTAATCAGTTAAGTTCTACCAGTCTCTCATGTTTGTTGTTTGAATCTATTCATGTCTATCTTTGACGGTCATCGTCCCCTCCCCATCCTCACTCTGCTAATTACTATATTTCCTATTTCGCCAAGAAAGTAAAAGCAATCAGAAGATTGCTCACCCCTGACCACTGCCAAATCTCTTAACTCACATGCATTGGTGCCCATAAGGCCTTCTGTCCTGTTACTAAGAATGAACCATCCCACTCCTATCTAAGGCCAGCCTCCAGCTTTGCACTGACTCCTACAATTACCTTTTTTCTACATTGTTACTTTTATCTTCCTACCCTACTTATTCTCACTAGCATACAAATGTGCTGTAAAATCTGTCTTACAACTTTTTCCCACATCTCTGACCTACTATTGCTACTTTTCTTTTCCCTTTTACAGCAAAACGTCTCAAAACTTTTCAAAAGTCATTTAGACTCTGATTCTTCCCATTCTGTCTTGAGCCAACTGTGATTCACCCCACCACTGCATGGAAACAGCTTCTGTCAACGTCATCAGCGACCTCTGAGTGCTAAATCCAACAGCCAATTTCCGGGCTCACTCAGCTTCTCATCAACAGTCTGGGGATATTTTCTTCATTTGGCTTCCATGACAAATACTCTCTTGGTTTCCCTCAAATTTCTCAACTTCTTAATTTTTGCTAAATCTACCTTTTCCTCATCTCCAGGTGTTGGAGTATCTCAGGTCTTAGTCTTTGGATCTTTTCTCTACCTTTTTTCTACTTTTTCCCTCCCTACACGATCTCAAGCAGTTCCATAGTTTAACATATTTTTACACAAATTTATCCCCAAATTTATATCTTCGCTCTGGACCTTTCCCTTGAATGCTAGTCTCATTTCCAACTGTCAACATCTCTACATGGACATTTAAGGTATTTACTGTATATTAAACTTCCCATTGTTCACGATAAACTTAATTTCTGCCTCTTCAAACCTACTTGTCACACAGGCTTCCGCATCTAGGTTTAAATGGTAACACCTCGGGCAGTTGCTTGGGCTAAGAACTAGGGAATTTCCTTTGCTGCCCCCGTTCCTCATGTCTTACATCTAATGCATCAGTAAATCCTATTGTGTCTCTCTTCAGACTGCACTGACCGCTTCTCAAGACATCCATTGCTACTTAGTCTCGGCATCATCTCTTACCTCTTCGAAGTCTCCTTGTTTCTGCCCTGTCCTTCCCCCCCCAACTTCTCAGCATAGGTGTTGCTTTTAAAACAGACCATGTCGGGGCGCCTGGGTGGCGCAGTCGGTTAAGCGTCCGACTTCAGCCAGGTCACGATCTCGCGGTCCGTGAGTTCGAGCCCCGCGTCGGGCTCTGGGCTGATGGCTCGGAGCCTGGAGCCTGTTTCCGATTCTGTGTCTCCCTCTCTCTCTGCCCCTCCCCCGTTCATGCTCTGTCTCTCTCGGTCCCAAAAATAAATAAACGTTAAAAAAAAAAAATAATAAATAAATAAATAAATAAATAAATAAAACAGACCATGTCACTCTTCTCGAAATTCGCCCCGGCTTCCCATCTCAAAGAAAGAGCCAGTCATCATAGTCCTCAGGACCTTATGACATCCTCTCCTATCTCTTTCCACTGTCCTCTGTCTGTGCAAGCCTTCTTGCTGTCCTCGTATACCTCATAGCCATGCGGTGTGCCTCACCTCAGCTTGGGGCCTTGGCACAAGCGGTTCCCTCTCCCTGGAATGCTCTCCTAGACATTTGCATGGTTAGCTTCCTCTCTTCATTCAGATCTCAGCTCACTGCCATCTCAGAGAGGCCCTCCCATGTTAGCTTACGTAGAAGATTTCAGACCCTTCTCTTCCCTCTACGTCCAGCCTTAGTTATGCTCTATCACCTTGTGTTAATGGGCTGAATGATGTCGCTTCAAAATTCCTATGTTGAAGTCCTAACTCCCAGTACCTCAATGTGACTCTGTGGAGATGGGGCCTTTAAAGAGGTAATTAAGACAAAAAGAGGTCATGTGGGTGGGCCCTAATCCAGTGTCTTATGAGAAGAGGGGAGATGAGGACATCCACAGAGAGGGAGGACCATGTGAAGAGACAGGGAGAAGATGGTCATCTGTAAGTAAGGGAGAGAGACCTCAGAAGAAACCCAGCCTGTTGACACCATGATCCTGGACTTCAAGCCTCCAGAACTGTAAGGAAATACATTTCTGCTGTTTAAGCCACCTGATCTGTAGTATTTTGTATGGCAGCCCTAATCAACCAATACACCTGGTCCTGTATCTTTTTTTCCCTCGTGATATTTACCAGTGCTTGATATTTATTTGCTTGACTAGAACGCAAGCTTTATAAAGATAGACTTCACCTTGTTCACTGATATGCCCTCAGCAGCAAGAATAGTGCCTAGTACATGCTAGCACTCAAACATTTGTTGAATGAACACATCCCCTCTGTCACTACTATCTTGGGGCCCATAATATCCTCCTGCATTACTTAGTGGCATCCTAATACCCTTTCTTGCCTTCTGTTTCCCTTTGAGAGCTGGTCCCTGCTTATCTCCAATCCACGCCTCGCACCTCCTCACATATCCCCCCTGGCCAGACTGAACCATTTTAGGAACAGGAAGCCTCCTGTGGCCTCTGGACTTTGGTACGCATTGTTCCATCCCCTGACCCCCGACACACTCCCTTTTCCCACCTCACCCCTGCTTATCTAGATACCCCTCATGTTTCTGCTTGTCTCGCAACGGGGCTGTCTGTCTTGTTTATTGTTGTGTTCCTAGAGCCAAGTACAAGAGTTGGCACAATTGACTTCAGCAAAGATTTGGGTTTTTTTTTTTTTTAATATTCTTTTTTCTTAAGTGCACTTATTTTGAGGGCGTGCTCAGAGGGAGAGTGAGAATCCAAGCAGGCTCTGGGCATCAACGCTGGGCCCAATCCCATGAGCTGTGAGATTCTGACCTGAGCCCAAATCAAGAGTGTGATGCCCAGGGGGCAAAGATTTATTGAATGGATTTTTTTTAATGTTTTTATTTTTGAGAGAGAGACAGAGCATGAGCGGGGAGGGGCAGAGAGAAAGACAGTATCCAAAGCGGGCTCCAGGCTCCGAGCTGTCAGCACAGAGCCCCATGTGGGGCCTGAACCCACAGACTGTGGCAGTCTTGACCTGAGCCAAAGTCGGAGGCTCAACCGACTGAGCCACCCAGAGGCCCTTACTGACGGATTCTGAAATCCCTCCTTGTTTGTGCTCCTGTGCACTCTTCCCCACTCGCCACCAGGGGGAAACATGGAGTGAAGGCAAACACCCAGGCTTCCACTGGGTTCAAATTATACACTACTCTGTGCTTTTCTGTGACCCCTGGACAGGAATTTCTGAGCCTCTCACGTAAAATGAGATGATTATACCAACTAATTAGGGTTGTGAGAATTAATTAAGTAAATGTAAGAGCCTTCAGAGAGGGTTTTTTGTTTGTTTGTTTGTTTGTTTTGCCTTTTTGTTATTTCTGCCCTCTAGATTCTGAGTTGACACAGGCTTCCTCACCTCGTAGGGAAATTTGGAAGTGCACTTCCCAGCCTCCCTCTCAGCGGACAGTGCCTCCTCTCTTACCCCTTACCAGGGGCAGTGTGCTTGTGTGTACAGGGGAGCCCTGACTCCCTCCCTCACCAGTCACGTGGCTGTGGGCAAGTCACTTAACTTCTCTGAGCTTGTGTTTTTCCAATTATTAAGCAGGGATGTTAACATTTGCCTACCTGACGATCTGCCCTCAGGATAGATGTGAGCATTTCATAAACTCCTCACCCGCCCTTGGCCTTGACTCCTTTCTCTTTATGTTTTTAAGTGAGTGCTCCTAAGGTTAAGAGGATTTGCAGAGTGAGTCGCTCCTTGGATGGCCAAAGTTAGGGCCTCCCCGGGTAGCAGACAGTGGTGACTCTTCTCCCACATCCCCCGGCTTGTATGGGTAGATTGACTTTGGCAGGAATTCACCCGGCAGAGCCTCCTGAGGACCTCGTGGCTGATCTTACTTCCCAGAGCTCTTGGCTGTCTGGCAGGTGCTGAGATGAAATAACTGGCATTAGACAAGGCCAGTCACTGCTATGTGCTGACTCCCCTTTAATAGTTTCATGTAGATGGTTCAAAAGGACAGCCAGGGGATCAAAACTCCAAAGGGCCCACCTGCAGAGGAGGAAGAGAGTCCCCATCCCACCCCAGCCCCAGTTCTCAGAGCACCAGGTCATGGCATTGCTGGCCCGTTTGTATTTGTTGTAAGCAACTCAGGTCTTTGCACGTGGTACCTGGCACTCCTTCTCTTTGCTGGAATCCTCCGGGGGCATTGCCCATGTATCTGCAACGGAGGCAGGAGGGGTTAAGAACAACTATTTCATATATATTTTACTATATGCCAGGGAAGTATCATTCTTCAACACTGGGGCTAGAGTTGCCATTCCCTGAGTAACCTGGGGCTGCGAGAGAAAGCTCAAGTCCATCTGCCTGGCTGGGGAACTCTCTAGGAAGAGGGCTGTGTGCTCCATTCAGACCCTGCCCTCTAGTGGCCCAGGGGACTGGCCTTGCAGTCCTGACTGCTCTGTCTACCCTGCCAGCCTCTAGGAACCTGGTCCCTGTCTAAGGAGGGGGAGAGAGAGAGAGATGAAAAGCACTGTCCTCAATAAAAAGCTGATCTTCCCAAGGACTCCTTTCTCTCTACCTGGCTTTTGAAATGTAGGCTTCCCTGAAGGGTGGAGTTGGGGTGAGGTGGCATGACCCACAGTCTCCATTTTGGAAGCAAAGATCCAAACTGGTATCAGAACTTGAGAGAGCACCGGTCCGGGAATCACAGGCTGTGAGTTCAAGTCCTACCTCTGTATGTACCATCTGTGTGACTTTGGGTAAGTCTGTTAACTTCCCGTGAACAAGCTTGTATATCCTCATTTGTGAAATGAGGCCCTCATATAGTGTCTCCTTCACAGAATTATCCCCGGGCTCTTCTTGATTAGCTATGCCATGCACTTAATGATGTGAGGAGGAAAGTGCCATACAAATGTAAGGCATCACTCACATCTTCTGAGCGTTCCTCTGAGGGTTCCCGAGGCATGGGCACCCTGTGCTGGATAGCGTACTGTTGGTGAGAAGATCCTGGTGACTGTTTTGGGGGAGTTTAAGCTGCTTGTGGGACGGGGAAAGAAACGCCTACCTTGGAGTAAAGATAAAGAGTCAGGGATTTGGATTCCAGCCTTAACACTCTCCCGGGCCCTATGACCTTGGACAACCCACTTAACATTGCAGAGCCTCTGTTCATGAGAATATTGATGGGGAGGCTGCTCTCTGTGAGTGGGAGGGAGCAAGTGGTAGAGGGTGAGAGCAAAAGAGCTCTGTGAAAGGTCTGGAACATGTAGCTGCTCAAGAACAGCTTCTTGAATGAATCTACATCTTCATGTGTTTGGGCCTTAAACTAGACTTCAGTGGCTCACCATAGGCCCAGAAGTGTGAGTCGCTCCTTGTGGTGTGGGGATCCTTAGAGAAGGCAGGTGTGTGCTTTGGAATCCAAGGCATGGCCCAGGTAAACAAGTAAAGCAGGTGTGCCATGAGGTTGGGGCCAGTGGTGATAAGGCTGTTTATACCGGTTGGGAAAGCAGGGCATTTTTCTCTGAGGCAGGCTTTCTGCAGAGGAGAATCTGGATTCGAGAGAGATTAAACGTCTCAAAGGTAAAGGAGAGATGTAAGGAAATGGCCTGCACTGAATCACTGCAAAGGACAGTATTCATCAGAGAATTAATTTGGAAGGAAATAGAGTGTGAAATAGCAGCAGAGCTTTCAACTCTGGGCACTGTGGCCTTAGAAACGAGGCTTGCCAAGGCCCAGCCCGGGAGCTCCTTCCAGAAAAGCAGTCGGGGGATGCCCAGAGACCACAAATTGCTGAGCTCGGAAGGAACTGATTGAGTGTGTAATTAAGGGGAGGGTTGTATAACACTTGGGTAAGTCGAATTTCATGGGGTCAAACCAGCGGGGCTTCTGGGAGATGAGAGAGCGGTCCCTGGAGCTGTTAGTAAGGGAAGCCAGATGCATAAGTTTAGATCCAGCTTACCTGGGCCTTGTGGAGACGAGGATGGAAAAGATCAGGAAGGGGAAAGGTTGAGTGAGTGTTCCCTAAATCAGAGGGTCCCCAGATGCTCAATACCATGGTGGTTCTGTTCTGGGAGTGAGGTAACATTACGGAGCAATGGGAAAAATCCCCAGAAACTGAAAGATCAGAGGGCCTGTGACTTGGCCAAGGACCCATAGCGTGAAGGAGCTTTAATGGACTCTGAGTCCTGATTGTGGGTCCAGAGTGTGTCTTGCGGTGCCACGCGGAGGGTGACAGCTGGAAGGGAACTGGCCAGTGTGTGAAGGGGGCGTCCTGTATCCGGGATGAGGGTAATCCCGGGAAAGGGTACCATTCACAGTATATCCGTGGACAAGATGGATATGTGTTGGCCAGATACCGAAACAATTAGGTCTGTTCATAACTGGTTGAATTCCTATACCCCAAATCCCTACCTAGTATTCCCTAATCTGCAAGGCCCCACCTGACAGGACCCCTGCCCACCCTTCCACCTCATCCCCTACCCCTTGCTTTCCCCTCAGATCTTGAGATGTTGGCTCCTGTTTGTGATTCAGACCTCAGCTTGAATGTGATTCTGTCTTGTGTGGGTTATTTCCTTATGTGCTTATGTGTATGGTTAATTTAGCGTTTACTTTTATAGAGATACACTAGAAGCCCGGTGGCTAGAAGCTCAGGCCCTGCAGCTGGACTGCCGAGGTTGACGGTCCATCATTTAGAATCTGTACGATCTCGAGCAAGTAACTTCACTCCTCTGGGTCTCTGTACACTTAATCTAGAAAATGGAACAGTGATAGTATTTACCTCACAAGATTTTGTGAAGAACAAACACGTGCAGTGTTTAGAACAATGCCTGGCACATAGGAAACACTCAATAAATGCCAGCTATCATTATTATTTTTATCATCCTCTGTCTCCCCCTCTGCAATCAGCGGGAATTTTGTCTGGGTCGCTCACTGCAGGATGTTTCTCTAGCACGTAGATCAGGACCTGGCACATAGGAGGGTTTCAATATATATTTAATTTGAATGTGTTTGCTGAATTCATAAAGTAACTAAGTCAATAGTCAATCGTTTTTCAGGGAAGTGTTTTGTGGCATATGTAGGCCTCTGCCCATTTGGACATATTTGTCAATAATCTGAGTAAAAAATACAACTGAACAATCAGGGTGTGCAGGCTGGATACACTTACTAAAGACATAAAACTGGGAGGAATAGCTTATTGAATGACTGAATGACTGAGTGGATAAATGATAGGTGTATTAGATATGTCCATGCCAATATCTGTTTGTTTGTTTGTTTGTTTGTTTGTTTGTTTTGATGCTGGGCCGAATATTATGAGATGGAACTTACTGGGAATGAATACAAAGTTCTTGATCTCAAAATCAATTGCCCACAACGGGATAAGGGTGGTTGTGAGCAATGCGTTCCGTGTGAATCAAGAGTATGATGTGTTCCTCAAAGTTCTAAATGTGCTGTGGCTGTGCCGGTGCCTGGAATGAGGGCCGTGGTGCTGTCCCTCTGCAGAACCCAGAGACCTGTGCTTGGATCTGGCAGCCACACTTGCAAGCAGAAACAGACAAACACGCCAACTGGAGAAGGACCAAGGGGGAGGGATCAAAGGGGCTGAGGACATATTTGATACAGTATTTACATGGGCCCTGAGGACCGCACTCAGACCAGTATATAGGCTACAGGGCCATGGAGACCTGAGGTCAATGTAAGGAAAACCTTTGAGATACTCTGAGCTGGCCGTGGGTGAATCGGGCTATCTCAGAGGGTTCCTGTCACGGAAGGATTTTGAGTTTACACTGGCATTTAGCCAAACTATTGTAAAGGCTCATACACCATCCAAGGGGTTGGAATAAATGGTTTTAAAGTCTCTACCCACCCTGAGAATCCACGGCTCTGTGATTCCACAGCATCTTTCATTCCCTGTAAACAGTCTGAGTCAGAGGCAGGCCTCATTTTTCTTTTCATGTGGTCAGGGATGGGGTTTGGTTCTCTAATTTGATGATTCTGAACCTTAAAGAATCCCTTGAAGAGTCCACCATGTTGGGCCCAGTTGGGCTTGGAGGCGCCAGGGAATAGTAGCCCTTGCAGACACCTTCTTGTGGCTGCTCCCCCCATCCCATCTTACAATGTCCACTGTAGTTGGTGCAGCTTTCTCTAGGGCTTTTCTGCGCTACCTTTCAGGGGAGCAGCGAGAGGACTCCCTGGGTCTCCCTTCTGAAAGAAGAAAGTTTCCAGCTCCAAATAGAACTTTCTTATTGTCCAAGCAGCACATGTGTGAAGCTTTTAGAATTTACTCACTAGCAGAGACATTTCAGATGTCTGCATTGTGAGCTCTGGGGTAAATCTCAAAAATGCTCTGATAACTCAGCTAGTAGTAGACCTATGCACATATGTTATCTGAAATCAGTCTCACAAACTCGGTGGCATTGAAATGTGAAGCAGCTGGCTCAGAGAGTTCAAAGTCAATGATCTGGCAAGAGGCAGAGGCAGGACGTAGACCCCCACCTTTGACCTTGGGGTCGGCTTGGTTTTTCTCCCCACATCTGTCCCCTGGGATGTTGCTTTCCCTTTGGCTTTGTCTCCTTCCCCACATGTGGTACCTCCTTCCTTTTGGTGTCTTCCTTTCTCCAAAGCTTACCTCCACGCATGCTCTGGTTCTTCACCTCCTTCTTGAGGTCTTCCTGCCAAGGATGGCGCAAGTTCTCTCGTATCCTCGGTCCCTCCCACTCAATTAATTGCTTCCTTTCTTCCTGACTTAGTAATATTACCATTGTCTCAAACTTTATTTCTGCTTTCCTTCTAGCCAGCATCCTGTTTCTCTTGCCTAGTACTGCCAAACCCACTGAATGTGTATAATTCAGCATCTCCGTCTCTTTCATACCCAAACCCTTTCCCCTGATCCTTACGCTGGCAATCTGGCTTCCGTTTCTTAACCAGAAATGCTCTCTGGGGGACCAGAGCATTAGTCAATCAATTTGGAGAGCCATTCTTAGCGTCCTCACCTTCCTGGATTCCTCAGGAGCATTTGGCCCTGGGGACCACCTCCTGGATCTTGCAAGCCACTTTCCCACCCCCTCAGGATTTATGCAACTCTATACTTTTGTAGCTACCCCAGTGACCGGATTGATTCTTTTTTATCTGGACAACGATTTCTTCATCAGTTACATGAGAGAGGTGGGCTAGGATCATTTCTAAGGTTTCTTCCTATGTTACGAATTTCAGCTTCTTTCTCTGGAATTTCTTCCCCTACTTCCAACGGTGCCAATCCTTCATGACTTAGTTCCTGGCCCTCCACTTGGTTCTCTCTTCTCTTACTTCCACGGAGAGATAACCCATACTCAGCGCCCAGTGGAGGAATTCACATTTCCATAGCTAATCCAAACCTGTCATCCCCCTGCTCTTATTTCCAACTGTCTGCACATAGTTGCTAAACCATCCCTTCATACTGAGCACTTCCTCAACCCCAACAAGCACTGGCTTCCCAGCTTCCCCAGTTTTTACCCATGATACCAGAGGCTTGTGTGAGGCGGGGCAGGGAGGGGAAGCTAACGGCCTCTAGGCTACAGTCTGAGAAAATAATGAAGAAGTAAAAAATGGGCTGCTATCTGGGTAAAGGGATTTAGTAGAGGAAAGACAAAATGAAACCACTTAACTCCAGATCCTTCTCTCTTCCCTAATCAGGATTTTCTAAGAAGGGAAGCCATCTTCAAGCCAAAAAAGGCCAAGCATTGTTGGGATGGATGAAAAACTTAGACAGATGAGCAGATAGCACCTGGTTGCTTCTAATGAGTTCAGATCTTCGTGTGCAGACGCATAATGCCCTGAGATAGAGGAAGAAGTTCTAGATGTTACTTCAGAGAGTAGCCTAGGACAAGTTATAATTATCTCAGAGAACCAAAATATAAAGGCAAATGTGGTCCTAGTTTTTCAAAACCCATAAAATGAGAGACTGTAGAATCTGAAGACCAAGAGCTTCTTTGTCCCCAGTAGGTCTAGAGTTGGTTCTTTTTTTTTTTTTTAGGGGAGTTTTTTATTCTGTATAACTTTTTAAAAATGTTTATTTATTTTTGAGAGAGAGAGAGAGAGCACAAGAGCAAGGGAGGGGCAGAGAGAGAGGGAGACAGAATCCCAAACAGGCTCCGTACTGTCAGCACAGAGCCTGATGCAGGGCTTGAACCCACGAACCGTGGGATCATGACCTGAGCTGAAATCAAGAGTTGGACACTTAACCAACTGAGCAACCCAAGCCCTAGAGTGGATTCTTTAACAAGTAAAAGTCTGTGAGCAAACTCTCTTTTCTGTTTGGGTTAATAGACCAATAAATCAAATATTCCCAAGAAATTCGATGAAAATCTTTCCAGTCAGTGTATGTTTTGCAGTCTTAACATGTTGGCAACTTCCTTTTCTTCTGTTGTGTCATACATGTGTTTGTGATCACTTGTTTCGTGTCTGACTTCTTTAGTAGACTATGAGCTTGGTGAGGACCAGATGTGACCATCCCTGACCAGTTTGCTGCCATATCCATCATTCCTAGCTTTGTACGTTCTGACTAAAAAAACAAATAAAAGAATCAGTCACTGAATAGGTAGATGGGAAATGTGAGCTGGATGATAATGGACTTATAAGTGATTGTAAAAGTACATTTAAAAATTAACAAACTACTGAATTGATGTCAATCTGAAGATTAGTTCCAACTATAAAACTCTTAGAAGAAAACATAGAGGAAAAGCTTTATGACCTTGAATTCGGCAGTCATCTCTTGGATATGACGCCAAAAAGCACAGGCAAGAGAAGAAAAACTAGACAAGTTAAACTTCATCAAAATTTTAAAACGTCTGTGTATCAAAGGACACTGTCAACAGAGTAAAAAGGCAGCCCATAGAATGGAAGAATATGTTTACAAATCCTATATCTGATAAAGGATTGCTATCCAGAATATATAAAGAGCTCCTACAGCTCAATGCGCGCACACACACACACACACACACACGCACACATACCGGTTCAAAATGGGCAAAGGACTTGAATAGACATTTCTCTAAAGAAGACATACAAATGGCCCATAAGCACATGAGAAGACGCTCATCATCAGGGAAATGCAAATCAAAAGCACGATGAGATACCACTTCACACCATAAGCCATCAGATAGCTATGATTTTAAAAACCCAGAAAATAACGAGTATTGATAAGGATGTAGAAAACGTAGAACCCTTGTACACTCCTGGTGGGAATGTAAAATGATATAGCCATTGTGGGAAACTGTGTTGGTAGTTCCTCAAAAATTTAAGCTTAGAATTGCCATAGGATTCAGCACTTCCACCTCTGTAATGAAGTCAAAAGAGAGGGGCACCCTGCGTGGTTCAGGTGGTTAAGCATCACTTTGGCTCAGGTCACGATCTCACGGTTTGTGGGCTCAAGCCCCCTGTCGGGCTCTGTGCTGACAGCTAGAAGCCTGGAGCCCACTTCAAATTTTGTGTCTCCCTCTCTCTGCCCCTCTTCTGCTTGTGCTCTCTCTCTCTCAAAAATAAACATTTTTTTTTAAAAGGAAAGTCAAAAGAGAAAAGAAGTTAAACTAAAAGAAGTTTAAGCAAAAAAAAAAAAAGTTAAAACAGGGACTCAAACAGATATTTGTACACCCATGTTTATAGCACATGATTCACCATAGCAAAAAAGCAGAAGTAAACTGAGTGTCCATAGATAGAGGAATGGGATGAACAAAATGTGGCAGATACATGCAGTGGAGTATTACACAGGCTGGAAAAGGAAGGAAACCCTGCCACATTGCTACCACATGGATGAACCTTGAGGACATTACACTAAGGGAAATAAGCCAGTCATTAAAGGACAAAGACCGTATGTTCCCACCTATATGAGGTACTGAG